CCTAGCCAGGATGGGGCAGAAATGGAATCTTAGCTAGGACTTGGCAAGTGTCCTAATACCTGATATTGTTTTCCTGACAGGTTCTGTTTCCCTGCTTAGGGCAGGTACACAGTAGTGAAACTTACTGTGAAAAATAATACTATCCTAGCTAAAATTGATTAGCACCCAGCCTGTTCCAGGCATTGTGTTGTGCACTTTAGAAGGAGATTATTTTCTTTTAATCCTTACAGCAGCCACCTGTGGTTGATACCACTCTTATCTGCTTTACAAATAATAACTCTATGAAAGCCATCTTTATTCATCTCAGCAGTCTATTTACATGGATTCAAAAATAAGGCTCAGGAAAGGCAATCAATTTGCCCAATGTCCACATTGCTGACAAGTGGTGAGACCAGGGGTTGAATCATGGTCAGTTTGGCTCTACAGTCCTGTCTTTTTCCTTTCAGTACGTTTTCAGTAAATGTCTGTGGTACACTGAACTGATAGAATCAGCATCCAAAAGCACTGCCACAGACTGGAATGCTGAACCAATCCCCAGAGAGACATGGAAGTCATCACATTCAGCAGAAGCACACAGGAGAGGATTACTTGCCCATCTAAAGGTCTCTCCATCCATCCACCCATCCATCCATCCATCCCCATCTACTCAGAAACTTAGCCACCTCTGTATCCATGGCAACATTATGAGGTTGGTTAGAGAGCTATGCCCACCATATAAGGGTGGATAGGCCAAGTTCAGAGAGGACACATGGATAATCCCCCTCTCCTCTACCCCCCATTCCCTGCTGATCAGATCAGTTGCAGAGCACAGTATTTTTTCTCTGGCTCATTGAAATGAGAGGGAAACAGTAGTTTTTTTTTTTTCTTCAGGAATATTTGAAACAACTGGAACTTTAAAAAATAGATTTTACTTCCCAGAGTAATTTTGAGTTAACAGCGAGATTGAGTGAAAGGTACAGGGATTTCCTAGGGCTCCCTGCCCTCACATACAAAAGCCTCCCTGACTGTCAACGGTTCCACACCAGAGCGGTACATTTGTTATAATCCAAGAAGCTTCACCAATACATCATTTTACCTACAGGCTACAGGTACTTGGGCTTGTGCAAAACTGTACTGAGTACCCGCTTGGAGATCATGCTTTCCTGTGACTACTGTCCAACGGCACCAAGGCCTGAAGCCAGGGTTGGCTGACTCCCAAGCATAGGCTCCTGAAAATTGTGTTCCGTGTGGCACAATGGCTGCCACATAGGACTAGACATATGGAAAAGTGGCTTGGCAAGGAGCTGCCATCTCCTGAAGGGCTGTTTTAAGAGGCCAGGCTACGTTATTTTGTGTGGCCTCACAGAGAAGTGCTCAGACCAGTGAGTGAGCTTTTGGGCAGGGACATTTTGTTTGCAGGGCAGGATAGCCCTGGGGTGGCAGGGGTCCTCGAAGGACTAAAAGTTGCTGTCACCAGAGGCACCTGGGTGGTTGGAGGACAGTCCTGTCTCGGGGCTGCACCTCCTGAAATGTCTTCCTTGACTCTGATGTTGATAAATTTAATTTGGCCTCACCTCTACTGAGTAACCACCGTGTGCCTGCTCTGGGATAGGTGCCGGGGATAAATAAGACATGACCTCAGCTCTCAGGCTACAGCCTAGTGAGGGAGGTGGCTTGCATGATGCTCTTAGTTGCTGCAGTTTGTGACCCTGGGGGATGTGGGGGCTCCCTCAGAGGTGAGAGTCCTGGGAGTATTATAAAATGAAAAAGAGCTAGATCTTTCAACTGAGGGAACCAGCCAGCTCTGAGCCAGCCATCACCAAAAGGTCTTCACGCACTGGAATAGGCTCTTTTGGAATATTTGGGGCCAGTTCTCAGCCAGGCAGAAAGGCTTAGAGGAGGATAACCCTTGCTACCCTCCCCTAGGCCTCTCAGAGTGTCCTCCCCCATCTGCCTACCAGGGCCACCATGGAATTACCTTTATCACCTTCTGTTATGAAGCACACTTACTTGTTGTAGGTTGGTGAACCACCATTCAGGGAGGGCCTATCAGACCCGCTGCCTGGACTTTAAACTCAGAATCCTGCTCTTTCTTCTGGCAGGTGCCCGGTGCCTGGGAATGGTCTGAAACCAGAAAGCTTGCTGCTCTGAGTTTATAGGAGTGGCTCCCACCTAGTCCCTACTTGCCTCCAGATGGTGGACTCCACCAAAGTCTCTGTCATCCAAGATTCCAAGTCTTGGAGGTGATGATGGAGATGAAGTGACTGATGATGACAGCAATAAATAGCATACTTGGCACCCAAGCCTATGTGCTTAGCTCACCAGATCCCCCTTAGAGGAGGACTTGTCTGGTTTTGCCCTCAAGCCTATACATGAGGAAAGAAAATAGGGTTTTCAGACCTCAGAAGCCAGCACAAAGGCAGAGCCCAAGGACCGCTGTCCATGAGCTCCTGGCCATGGGGACAAGTGTGGAGGTGTTTTAGAAGCAGGGCCCGTGTTGTATGAAAGGAGAGAAGGTTAGAAGCAGGGCCCAGGTGGTGCTCTTCTCAAGCCTTCAGGAGCCTTTTCTCTTCCCGCTATCCCAATATCCATGTCCCTGCCATTCTTTCAAACCATCTCAGATACCATCTTTTCCAGGAAGTCTTTGTAGATGAGCCTGAGCTGGCAGATGATTTTCCACTTCACACCAAATGTCATTCCTACAAGCTTAGTCTCTACCCCATTGGGGGCTGCTTTGTTGGGGACCAGAAACTTGTGCCAGACCTAGTATCTCTGACTACCCTAGCAGTTTGACTGATGCCACTCACCCCTGGGGTTCCCCTGGCCTCCTACTGCTCTTGAGACAAGGCCTTGCTCTTCAGCATGTGAAGTGCATGCTTTCTGATCATGTGGAGGACCAAACCTTAGTTTCTCTAGATTTCACTCTCCATGTGCTGCATAGATATGTTGGGCTAGGATGGTCACTTTAAGAACAAGTAATGTAAGATACTACATTCTCAAGTGTGCCTGTAATACTCTCAACCCAAATTTCTCTGGAGAACCCCTACATATCCTGCAAGACCTAGGTAAAATATCACCTCAGATCCTCTCAAACAAAACTATCAGGCCCTGTCCTGTGCTACCACATTGCTTTACACATGTTTCTGCTATAGTTTGTGGCCAGCAGGTATTGGCTGATCTGGAATCTGGGAACCTTGATACTCTGAATTCTTTGAGCAGGGATTTTTACAATAGAGCACAGTGTGATAAAAAATGGGTGATAAAAATGTTATCTAAATGAAGGGATGCATGAGTGAATAAATGAGTCCCTCGATTCATCACATTCATCCCTATAACAATCTGCAGCCAGGAGCAGGTAGGTAAGGGGATTGGAGAGAGAAGTCTTAATGGTCTCTAGAGAAGAGAGGTCAGGTATCCAAGCCCCAGGCCCACAGGTCAGGATAGTGCAACAGTGGGCCCATTCCAAGGGAACCTTAGCCACTCAGGCAGGGGCTGCTTCCAGGCCATCCAGTGTTGAGTCTTCTGCTCTGCTGAGAGTGGAGGTGCCAGAACTGGGACAATGGCTGGGGGTTGGCAGAAGGAGGAGCCCTTCTGAAGTGGCAGAAAGTTTATCCGAAATCTGACTCGACTAAAAACTTGGAAGTGTGGTCTCGGATGTCTGGTGGCCTTGGTCTGGGGTGTCTGCAAGGGGAACCTGGCGTCTGGGCACTGAGGCTTGGGGAAGGGGCTGGGCCTGGCTTTTCCAAACAGAGCTCCGCCTGGAGAGGCTGTGCCCAGGACTAATTGGCTCGCCCTCCTTCCGTTGCTGCTGGAGAAAGTCTTGGCTAATTTGCCGGAACGCTCTAGTTAAATGCCAATTAGGACATTCTGTCCACTGCTCTCTTCCAATATATTAATAATGTAATTAAGCATTTATTGCCTGCACAAATTAAAAATTAACTTAAATGGACAGGCTGGAAAAGTGAGAAAGTGACCGTTTAAACAACTAATTTGCATCTCATTCGAATATCAACATCTAAACAGCCCTGTCCAGGGTGCTGGGTTTGGCCTTCCAATGAGGGGCTCAGCCAGCTGCCAACAGCTGCTGGTGCTCCTTCTCCATGCTGGATTCTGTCCATCTTGCCCCAATCCTAGGTGTAGAGGACATGGCCTTGCCCACAAAAGGGCAGGAGGGCTTTCTGCTTAGCACAATACCTTTCTTTCTATTGACCCTACTCCCGCTTCCAGGGGCCTGTGGTGTAGGTTTCGTTGAAAAGAGATGCTACCAGGGCTGGAGGGGCTGGATGGGAGGGGGCAGACCCTGAAGGCCCTGACTTTCCCATCCTTAGGATTGATTTGTCCTGCATTCCAGCCCAGGAGATGGGAAGCAGATGGTGCTGGTGTGGGGAGGGGGAGGTGGCCAAGGAACAAGACCTTCCCTGAAGCCAGCCCCACGGAAGGAAATGGAGGGTGGGGTGGTGGCTGGATTTCAGAGGAAGCTGGGTTGCATAGCATCCTCAGAATAGATGAAAGGACACAGCTCCCTCCTCTTTTCTGCCCTCAGGGATCTGTCTAACACAGCAAGTGTGACACTGCTGGTTTTCTTCTCCAGAGAGCCACGGGAGGGGACTTGGCAGGAAGGAGGACAGCAGGGGGTGAAAACAGGAGGGTTGAGGCAGGTGAGTGGAACTCAGGAGCTCTGGGGACAGCCAGCGTGGCACTGGGAAGCACTGCTTCTCTGTAAAAGCTTCTCAGGCCTCCCTCTGGAAGGACCCTACTGCACTAGCAGACACCAACCCCTCTCCATGGCACACTCCACTCTTGGGTCAAGGTCTTCCTCTTTGTGTGGAAGATGGTTCCACCACAGCCTGGGTGCGTTCTCCTTGGGGACTCCTGCAAGATAGTGAGGCGGGACCCTGTCACAGGCCATGGGTCTGGGCATGGGGTGGGGGCTCCCTTCTTCTCCCACACTCTCTTGCCATGCTACGTTCTCCAGCTTTACCTCTGTCCCTGTCCCACTGCATTGACACAAGGCAAATAGGTTTGTGTTAAACACTTTATTTATAAAAAAGTACATTTTTCTTCCTCAGTACATTTTTCAATCCATCTTTTTTTTATACAAGTAAAAGGAGGTGATCCAAACACCCCTTAGGTCAGAACCAGGAGAATCTGCTGGGCCGTCCCCAGGACCAAAGACAAAAACCGTGACAAAGAAACTGAAGCAAAGGAAACGAGTCACACTCAGAGGTGAGGGTGGCAGCTTCTCCTGGATTTTGTTTCCATTTGTACAAAAAAAGGAAAGCCATTTTTCCTGACCAAGCCCGTTCCTCACAGCAGGGTCAGAAGAGCAGCAGCAATGGTGGCAGCAGCGTGGCCTGGAGCCCCAGCCTCCTGGGCATCTCACCTGCCTCTCGGTAGGAGAGGGTTTCTATTGGCAGTCAGGCCCGGGGGTATTTGTCTGGACCCCTAGCGGCCTGGGAGCACCGCTCTCTTCTAGGAGAGGAACACCAAAGTCTGCCAGGCTCCGTCAGCTGCCTGCATCCACCTGACACAAGTCCCAATTCTTCTGCCTTGAAGATGGCAGAAAAGTTATTGGACTGGTGACTGGGGCACCTGGGGAGCTGGTGGAGGGGTCGCATGCTCAGGACCAGGGCCTCTGTGGGTCTCTTTCTGGCCTGAGCACTGGGAAGTCACCGCTTCTCCTTGAAGGTGTCCAGCAGGAATATCCATTCTTCTGCCATGTCTACCTGTCTGTGCTGAGTGCCCATCTGGGCGTGAATGTGCACACATGCACACACACACCTGTGCTTGGACCTGTGGGAGGTGTGTGTGCCGCTGTGTGCATGTGTGCTGGGCCTGAGGTGGCTGCGCTTGCAGCCTTGTGTTCACTGATTCTGTGCTGCTGCTTTTCAGATCCTCTGGTAAAAGGGGACTTGGATGGTCGTTGCACATTAGAACAATACCAAAATCTGCAAGGAGACATGGTTATGGGGTAGAGAGCACAGACAGGGAGAGCAACAGGAGGCAGGATGACAACTGGGGGGGCCTTGGCACAATTAATACCAAGTTTATTTTATTTTCAGCAAAGCAGCTCAGCTCATGCTGGAGGCATGAAGGAGAAGCAAAACGTCCTCATCTCCCTGCTGGGCTGGACCTCCCTTTGCTAGTTATGTCTGTGGTCCAGCATCAGTACCCATTGTCCCACATACGTGGGACCCAGAAAGCCCCGTCTCCCCAGGCCACCTGCTGATCTCTGCCTCATGCCCATTCTTCACCAGGCTAACGGCTGCCCAGTGGGCATACTGCAGCTGGGCTCCTGACCCATGCTGTATGGACCCCACAATTTGTGCTTTGCTTGGGAGAAAGGCGTGGAGGTGGGGACTAAGTGCTTTGGCTGGGCCCAAAGCTTCGTTGGTCTGTCACAAAATGAGGAATAGTTAGTGGCAGTGCAGGGGAGACGCAGGAGGATGAGTCCTTTCTGTCTTGGGGCTCCACGGGGACAGAAAATGCCTCTATCAGGTGGATCCCTTGGCTTGCTTCCTGCCTGGGGGTTGGGGGACCAAGCTGAGAGGCCAGACTGGCATGAGGAGGAGGGATGGGACAGTGCTGTAATGTGGGAAACATCCCCTGCCCTAGGGGACACTAATACTGTGGGAGAAGCAGCCCAGCTCCTCCACTTCCCTCTGCCCCGTGGCTGAAACGATCCCAGAATTTTCTCCCCAACTCCACCTCATCCAGTGCCCCCAGGGCCAAGAGGGGAGAGCCGCTCCAGGGCTGGCATGGCTTCAGACTTCTGCTACGTGGCTACTGGGCGGCCTGGGCTGGGGTTAGGGCAGTGAGGGCTGGTGAAAGTGGGCCAGCTGGTGGGCCCAGTGTTGCCAGGGCAGAGATGGAGCTTCAGCTGGGGTTCAATAGCAGCACCAGGGAGGGAGTAGGTGAGGACTGGAGGGGCTCCCTTAGGAAGCCTATGGCAGGGTGGGTCAGTGCCCGTGGGGCACACAGTGGTCTGCCTCCCTCCCCCCAACACTTGCCATCCAACAGAGCATGACACCCTGGGCTGAGTGAGCCGAGATCCTAAGAGGCAGGCCTAAGAGCCCTTGGAGCCCACCCTTGTTATCCCAGAGTCTTTCCCATGGGCACGTCTTCTGGAGTGCCACAGCCCTGGGGGGCAGATGGAGGAACTGAGGCACTTGGAGCTGGGAGACGGAGAGGGCTGGGAGGGGCCTTCCTCACTGCATCCATGACAAGGTCCAGTCCTGGATGACTGAGGGGAACCCAGAGTCCCGCTCAAGGAGGGAATCTGTACTCGCATCCCAGAGCAGGCTCCAGGGGAAGCTAAGCAGGAAGCAGAGAGTGGGTGAGCAGTGGGTTCCCTGGCTTCTCCACCACCCTTGCATTTTTTGTGAGGCCCGCGATATCTAAGCTGGCCGTTATGTGCGAGGTGCTAGCTGTGCCCCTGTCTACCAGACTGTGTGCAGAGCTTCTGTCATGCAGAATTCCTTCTCCACATAGATACTTTGCCTCTGACTCCTGGAGGTACTTCTGGGATCCCAGCCCTGACTTTCCAAGAGAATCAAGTGTTGCTAGCACTTGACAGATAAGGGAGAAATCTGAGAAACTTCCATGCTGTAAGGAGAGGTTGGGCCTGTTTGAAACCCTAGAGTGGTGGCATCAAGGAAGCTCCATCTTCGCTGTTGCTGGAAGCTTCCACAGGCTGCTCCTATCCCTAGCTGGGAAGGCGGGAAGAAGTGAAACAGAGAGGGACAGGCCTTGGGCAGAGTCCAGCCTGGGCAGGGCATGTGATCCCCGGGGGAGAGCAGGTGTTAACCGAGTGGTGTGTGTGCATGTACGTGTGTGTATGTGTGCGCACAGGCATATGGGAAGTGTGGGCAGAGTCCACTTGGGGTCCTCCCTATGCAGGGAACAGACTGGGTAAGGGGAGGGAGGCACCAGAGCTGGGTCAATTGACTCTGTAAACCAATGAGGAAAAATATGTAAAACCACCTTCACCAGGAAAGCACACTGCCCAAGCTCCAGGTGGGAACCTCAACAGAATCATTTAACAAACAAGACTTCCCTGGGTGCTCTGGAGAAGTCACACCCCACCCCCTACCTCTTAGTTGCACCGGCTGTCTAGACTGAGGCCCCAAACCCCAGCTGCATCAGCTTATGGTGGGGGTGTTGGGTTCCCTCTCCTTGGGAAGAGGAGCAGCATTGGGTGGTGGGGGTGGGGGGCTCTTCCTCTTGGAGCCCCTTAGTGCTCCACCCCCAACAAAGGGAACACAAACAAATTCCAGTGTTGGGGGGCCGGGGAGGGCTGGCTCCCCAAACCCTGGAGGGATGCCCAGGTACACAAGACAAGAACAGGGCTCCCTACACAGAGGGCAGTAGGTGGGGTCATTGAAGAAAGGTACAGCAACACCAAAGCCACAGTTGAACACAACACCATAGGGGAGGGCTGGGAGAGGGAGGAAATAAAAACAAAGCCAAGTCGGGGCTGCCCTATGCTTGCCTGGCTTCCCAGGAGTTCAGGGCTGGCTTTGGGCAGGGGGCTGAGTCTCTGTCCAGCTCCTGGAGGAGCCGGCAGTGGGGTAGGAAGGGGTCGTGCGGGTAGGGGCGAGGAGATCTGGGCACAGACAGAGGCCCCAGAGTGGGGCTACACGTACCACTCCTTCTTGGAAATGAAAGACCCGTCATTCTGAGAAACCATGTTCTCAGCCAAGTCCAGCTGCTCAGGGTCGTACTGGTAGCCCAGAGTCCGGTCCCCGTAGCCGTCCTGACAGGCCTCGGCTTCATCCACCGTGAAGTAGGGTGGCCGCTTGGCGTCCTCATCGTATTTAGGGTGGGGGGCACCCACTTTGCGGTCACCCCCACCCTCTTCCTCCTCTTCCTCCTCACAGCTGCTCCCACCCAGCGGGCCGGCCTTCTTCTCATCATCTGAGTCATCGGGGTACTGCAGGTTCTGTGCCATGGGTGGGTGGTGCTGAGGGATGCCTGCCTTGCTGTAGCCGTTGCCATATACGTGCTTCTTGGTGCTGTAGTCACCCTTGAAGGTGTGCCGGCGCCGGCGCAGGGCCACCACGATAGCGCCGACCACAATCAGGACCAGCAGGACGCTCCCCGCCACGCCCCCAATGATGGCCGTGGGTACTGGCCCCGCGCGCCGCCCATGTTCAGGAGGAGACGGGGTGTAGGGGAATTCTGGGTGAGGAAAAGAGAAGGAGGGGACAGTGTCAGCGTCTGGTCCTTGGGAATCAGCAGGGATGGGGAGGGTCGGAAGGCAGGGGAGGAAAGGCTGGGCTAGGTTGTGCACACCCCTGGTTTGAGCAGCTCCAGTTCCAGGGGTCCCTCAGCACCCCTCCCTTCCCAGAGCCCAGCCTGCCACAGTTGGTAGCTGGAGTGAGACAGGCAAGAGGAGAGGTAGAAGACAGTACCCATAGTGCCAGGGTCTTCCATCCTGATCATGTTTGGAGGTGGTGGCCCCAAGCCCTAATACCAACTGTTGGTACGCAGGGGCCCCCAGCACACTAGCATGGGCAGGGACCTGCTAGGTGCTATTCACTGTCATAACTCTATGAGGTAGGAATGCTACTTATTTCTGTTTAGCACACCAGGGGTAGGCTGTAAGGAGGTAACTTGCCCAAGGCCTCCAAGCTAATAATGCAATGTTTCCTGTACCAATGTCACCAATACCCTTTCTGCCCCATACAAAATCGTGCCCCAATATTATCCTCTTGACTATAGGGACTCAAAGAGTGGAGCAGACTAGGTGTTCTGAGTTTGCCCCCAGGGCACAGAGAAAATGAGTTCCCAAGCTCTGGCTGGTAGATGTCCTGTAAGTGCCAATCAGCCGCCAGAGTGCCAGAAACCAGGGCTGTGGTTCTTGTCTCTGGCCAGGTTCTGTGGGCCTGGCAGAACACAGGGTCCAGCAGAAATGGGAGTTGGGGTGCATGTGTATGCAGCAAAGATCAGCACACAGGAGCAAGCCTGTGCACATACCCATGCCGGTGTGACGATGCATGTATTCAGATATGTACACCTTGAGGACGCTGGAGAGGGGAAAGCAATAACGGGGAAAAGAAGAGAACAGAATAGGGTGGAAAGGGAGAAAAGTCTGCTGGCTTTGATGACATCTGGGCCAGGCCATGGTATTTTTCTGCTCTGTGCCACAGAGCTCAGCATCTTGCAGTGTTTGGGAAGACGCAGGAAGTCAGGTCAGGCCAGAAGCCACAGAGGTCCTGGGGTGAGGTTCAGGGAGGCGGTTCCCAGCACCACCACTGGGTGGCACCGGAGACCACAGCAGGCCCAGGGCAAGCCAGGAGCCTGGTGGGGCAGCTCTCCTCCTCTCTTCAGGCCAGTGTGAAGGGTCGGTCTGGGCCTATAGCACAGCCCCTGGGAGTTCGCTGCAGCCAGCTCACTCCCTGATTCACTCACTGCATCGGAATCACTTCCTTCCTCTGAGCCCCTCCCTCCCCTGGGTGGGGCGGCCCTATGGAGTGAGTGGGGTGCTGTCCCGAGGGCAGAGATTCTGGGAAGAGGAAAGGCCTTCTTGTGGCTCACGCTGGAAGGGCTCAGGAAAACACGGGGCCCAGAGAAGGGGAGGCCATTTGCCCAAGGCCATGTGGCTGAGCTAGGGCCATTCAGATACTCTGTGCCTGGAGCTGGTGGAAGGACTGGGATTCCCACTTGTCACCACTGTCCTCAGGGCAGGTCATTGAGGAGCTGCCCACAAATATTTACTGAATGTCTGTCCTGTCTCTGGGACAGTCTACTGGAACCTCAAGCTCCTCAGGTCTGTCTGTTTACTGCCCTTAAAATGGCCCAGCACCTGCTCTCTTGAAACGGGTGCCAGCTCCACAAGAAGTGTGCTGGAAGCAGCAGGGAGGAACTTTGCCTCATCTCTACTTTGAACCCACTTACTCCCTCTTCAGTTCTCACCAGGTCTCAGTGGTCTCTGTCTCACCTGCCCTCATCTCTTTATTCCCCCGTCCAATCAGCCAACATGTCCTGAATCTCCCATCACAGGATGCAAGAAACCCAGCCTTGCTAGAGAACCAGATGATGTGCTTAGAGTCAGAGCAGTGAGCAGACAGCAAGGGGACTGGCAGTGAGGGCTCCCGAGTGTAGGGGAGAGAGAATGCTGTGGTATGGAGCTGGAAAAGGCATGTTGGAGGAGGCTGGGCTTTGCCAAGCCTGAAGGATGGTGTGTAAGGCATCCAGCTGGAGGGACCTGCCAGTTGCTTCTGAAATGTGCCCCTTGCCTTCCAGTATGAGGACTCTTTGGTCCTTGGCTTTCTTCTGGCATTCTGTTTTAGGCTGCCTTACCGGGCCTTTTCTCTGCTCTCACTGTCTTTTTTTTTTTTTTTCTCCAGTACCGGGAACCGAACTCACGACCTTGCGCTTGCCAGGCAGGCGCTTTGCCGCTGAGCTAAATCCCCAGCCCTGCTCTCACTGTCTTAACAGAGGCTCTGCCCATCACCCTTCATCCTTTACCTCTGCTTTCTTTCCCAGTGACAGACCTGGTCTCAGTTTCACGGGTTTTACCTTTGTTCTTCTGGTTCTCCAAACCACTTCAGGGACATAGGTTTCACCTAACTCTAGAACTTCTATCTCCTAAGGCCTCTGGGGCAAGATTTCCCACACTATGGCCCAAGGAACCTCAAACCATTGGCTCAGAGAGTCAGGAAAAATACTAGGGTCAAACAGTGAAAAACACTGGCTTACACGTCAGAGCCTTTCTTATTCTCATATGCATTAACTGTGAGAGGAACACGTAGGATGGAGTGTTTCCTAACTTCTTGGTGTAGGGAGGACTCATATTTAGGGGTACACATTTGAAAAACTGCCCTGTAGTAATCCTTACTTGGAATTCTCACTGCCAACTCAAAACCCATCTGTTCCAACATAGTTTGTCCTCTCCATCCAACACAGCTCCCCTGGGCCCTCCACTGCCTCCACCCTTTCTCTACTCTTCCAGCTCAGAATCTCATTCATCTTTGACTCTTCCTTCTTTATCTTTTGGGTCAAAATCTGCCTTCACATATTGTTGATTCTTCCTGTCCATGATCTCATCGCTCCATGCCAGGTTTTCGTGTTGTACCTCCTGGATCTCCCACCTTCACTTGAGCCCTTGCTCTCTTTAATTGCCTCATCCATAGACACCAGGTTAATTTTCACTTTATGGATATGAGTACTCCCTTTCTCAAAGACCAGCAATAAATCTCCTACTGCCATGGAGTCAGCCCTTCAAGATTTCATCATGTAATTTCATTTTGGGACTAACTAGCTTGCCTTCCTTCTCATCTGCTATAATTTGGAGAAATGTCCTCCAAAGGCCCATGTGTAGAAGTCTTGGTTTCCCGCTTCTAGCTCTATTGGAAGGTAGCAGGGCTTCAAAGGTGGTACCTAGTGGGAGGGAGTTAGGTTATTGGGACTTTGTTCTTGGTGGAAATATCGAGACCCTGACCTCTTCTTGTCTCTTTTTGTTTCTTGGCTCCCAGGTGAGCAGCCTCCTCTGCCTATACCTAACAGTCTTCATGATATACTGCCTTGCCATAGGCCCAAAAGCAACAGGCCAACTGACCATGGACTGGAAAGTCTGAAAAATAAACTTTGCCTCTTTTAAAGTTATCTCAGGTATTTTGTTACTATAACAGAAAGCCAACTATCACACTGTCCTTGCCTACAAGAGGGTTCCTTACTGAAGGCCTTTGCTTGCCATTCCCTGCCTACTGTAGCTCCTCAGGCCCTTCTGTATGCAGCCTTCTCTCCTCTAGCTTAGACTTCACTTTTTGTCTAATGGTCTGCACGTCTCATTCTGCTCTGAACAACTGTGAATCCCATTTCATTAATCACAAGTTAAGATATGAATTATAATAAGTATATTCAAATTAGGATTAACCACCATTGGCCCTGCTTATTTTGCCAGTTTCCAAATGACTGAAGTTGTTCTCTTTTGCTGGAACAAGGTGCAGGTTTGTTGGACGTGATAGCCTCATAATCTGGTATTGACACATTTTTGTGTGGCAGCTGTGTACAGCATTAAGTTCCCCTTATGTATTTTTATGTGTTCTTTGATAGGATCAATGAAAAATAAAGCTCCCATATTTTACTTGACTAGACTGAATTTTTTGACCCCACTAATTACAGTATGGTGGGGTTTCCTATACTTTCTGTTTCATGAGAGTGGTTGGTATCCTGAACTAGTTTGTAAATTATAATTCAAAGTACATTTAGAACCCAAGTGCTTCTCACCATCTGCATTATGACCACTCTGATCAAGACACCATCATCTCCCACATGAATAATTTATTGCAATAGCCACCTAACTGTTATTCTGATTGTACCTTCTCCTACTGTAGAATACTTTCAATACAGCCAGAGCAATCCTAGTAAAGTATAAGTTACATCACATCACTTCTTTGCCCAGAGCTCTTCAATGCCTCTGGTTCACTCATAGTAGAAGCCCAAATCTGCACAGCTTAGAGTGCTAGTATACTCTGTCAATTTCTGTCACCACTTTTATTTATTTATTTTTTTTTTTTGGTTTCTTGCAGGCTCACCCCATTCCCAACACCTATGCTCAAGGCTTTTGCACTGGCTGCTCTCGCCCTGGAGGACTCTTCCCCGGGGATTCCCAGTTCACATCATCATCCCTTTCAGGGTATAGTTCAAATTTCACTTTCTCACGAGATCTTTCTGGAATAATTTCATTTAAAATTGTAACTCATGGACCTCCCCCAGCCTCTAGCATTTATCTCCTTACTCAATTGTTTTTTCTTTTTCATTTCAGAATTACTACAAAGTTTCACAAGGACAGGGACTTGGTCTGTTTTGTTCATTGATGTAACTCAAGTGTTACATTGCCTGGCACATGGCTGGAGTTTAATGTATTTGTTGAATGAAAGAGTGAATTCTCTCATGACAAGGTTATGTCTAAAGGTGAGCCTAGCTCTAGGCAAAGCAAGTGCTCAGGAAATACTCAACCCAGGGATGGGACACACTTGGGACCTCATTTCACTGGAGTGGGGCATAAGAGGAGTAGAGTGGTAGCTGGTGCTAGATTTTACTGGGTTCCTTTCCCCTTTAGATCCTGTGCTTTACTTTCCCCCACTACATTCTAAGGAAGTTTATTCTTTCCTAGGAGATCTTTTGGGACCTACAAAAGTGATTATTTTAGCTACTTTAGGGTCAGCCTTGCAGAGGCTGAGGAATGGCTAAGATGACTCCCAGGATTGCAGAGTTGAAAGTGAAGGTGCCAGGTGAGGGGGCAGAAGAAAGGCGCAGGCGCAGGGGCCCGATTCATGTGCAGGCAGAAGGGGCTGTTTGGTGTGGAGTGGAGCATCCTTCCCCTCCCCCTCTGTCCCTCCAGCTGTCACATTCAGCCAGTAGCTCTTGTCACTGTGCCAGGAGTGGAGCCACAAGGGCCGCAGCTGGGAGGAGAGAGAAGAGCCAGCAGTGGGGTCATTTGCGCTTGCTGGCAGGGACTTAGCCAGCCTCCCTCGCATCCTCTTACAAAGGAAAAGCTTGGCTCTGATCCTGAAGGGTTGCAGCCTCCCCTCTGGGATGCTAGGCAGGCCAGGCCCACAGGGCAATGGGCCTTTGCATTCCTTTGGGGCCCTGATTCCCTGACAGAGGTAAGTGAGCTAGTGGGAAGGGCTTTGGATGGATTTGAAGTATAGTGAAATTCGGGTTTAAAATGTGGATCTAGGGTAAGATGTGGGGGTGCAAGCCTGCAATCTCAGCTAATTAGAAGGCTGAGACAGGAGGATTGTAAGTTCAAAGCCAGCCTGAGCAACTTAGCAAGACATTGTCTCTGAAAAAAGAAACAGAAAAGTCTGGGAATATAGCTAGTACAAAGCTATGAGTTCAATCCTCAGTATTGGAAAAAAATGAAACAAAACAAAATGAAAAATAATTTCTGGATCTTGGATCTGGAGGAGGTCAAGAAAATGTTTGGGCTTGCTTCCAAAGCCAGTGCCTGATGCTTCCTCAGGAAGAAAATACTCCAGCGTTAGAATAGGCTGAGAGGCTGTGAGAACTACATCTCCCAGCATGCACAGCTGGCCACAGGGAGAGGGACAGTATGGGGTCACGTGCTGGGAAGCCCTGCTGTCCTCCTGCAGCTGCAGCAGCTGTGCATTGTGTCGGGCCATCAGACAGGGCTTCAACAAGCTGAGAGGGACCAGATCCTCCCAGAGGCACAGATGCAGCTGTGTTCTCAGACTCCTGGACACCCTGCTGTTTGACAGCTTGGAGAAGGGGACATTTGCTCATGGCACAGACATGGCTCATATTTGCACACTCAGCAGGCACACTGTGGCTTGCCTGCTCACATGGGCTCACATCTGCACACTCACAGAGGCACATATCCGTACTCATGCCTAGGCAGAGAGACTCTGGCCTTGAAGGCCTGTCATCCCGGACCTGAAGCCCCCTGACCTGGTGGGCAGACCCTGTAACTGCAGCCCCACGAAATGACACAGACTTCATTGGAAGTGAGAGTTGGGTAAGGCACCATACACTCTGGTGGCTTCCCTGTCCTGTACTGGGGAGTGGCAAGAGGCCTGGCTACTCTCCTAATCCCCCTAGAGATAGATGATGCCCACTTGGTCTCTTTTGTCTAGTCAAGGCCATATCTTGGACCCCTCCCCACCTGAGGGCACTCCAGGAGGAAGAAAGGAGGGCTGTTCCGCTGGTGGCCTGCAGTGTGACCATTGGACCAACCCCATGAATTGCTCCTCAGTGCAAGGGCCTCTGAACTGGGCTTTGTGTAAACAAACTGCCTTGGGCTTATCTCCGTTCTGTCAGCCCCACAGCCACAGCCCGGCCTATTGTTTTGCACTACAAAGTTATTCACTGTGACAGCCCTAAATGGTGTCCCTGGGCTACTATGCTGCCTCCTGGTGAGCCTTCCAGAGCCCACCACCTCTGCCCACTCACTCCAGCCATCTGCCTCCCCTGTGCCCCCGTCATGGGCACCCTGAGCCCCTCAGGCTGCTCGTTCCTCTCTATAGCCCTGTGCCCAGGACCCGCGCACACACGTCTCTGCGCGCACGCTGTCCAGCTCGCTCTCCTGCCCCACCCCAGCTTCTCTCCATTGCCCTGTCCAGATGTGCCCAGGGTGAAGCTATTACCTGAAGAGCAGGCCAGAATGAAAAATTAAATTTCCATTTATCCCTCTCACTCATGCATTCCCTCCAGATCAGTGGGGCTTGGAGCACAGGGCACAATTGTACCCTGCAGGTCTGCCGACACCTCCCCCCACACCCCGCCCCATGGAGGCCCTGTGCTTGCTGTGGGTTTCTGGGGGTGAGGTCGTCGGCTCCTTACAAATTGTGAGAGCAGAATAAACAGCCCTAAAAAGGCTCCAGGCTCCTGGTTGAGTCCTGTGAAGGGGCTGGTCAATATAGCCTGGACCTATCAACGATTCAGTGAGCAAGATGCTTCTCTGGCTCCTGCCTAACAGGCTGTCAGCAGGAGTCATGTTGCATCCTCTTCCAGATGGAGTTCTGGGTGGCCTTGGCCCATGTGCCCTCTAGCTGACACCACTAGTACAATGACCTCTGCAGGCCTGATCACAGGCCTGACTGCTGATGAAACAGCAGGAACCAGGAATCAGGACAGCAGTCTCACAATAGGTTCCCTCCTTTCTTACCCTCCTCCCTGCTCCTGAACCTGAGTTCCCAGGGAGAGGCTTTGCACTCATGGTCGTCTGCTTATCCCTAGGTTTGGGGAGAAGGCAGCTTGTGATTCTCCTGTTCACCCTTCCTCTGGGCCTGGGAACACTACTTAGCTTAGTGGCTTGGCCTCTCGTGCTGGGGAGTAGGGTCAGTGGGAGGACACTGTTGCTGGTTTCCTGGCTTCCTCATGATTTCCCAATCAGTAGCTTCCCCAGAGACCTGGGGTGGTAAAGGGGGATGTGGTGGCAGTGCTGGCGATCCACCAGGAGGGGAATGTATCACATGCGGTGAGTTCTGAGGGTCATAAAAAGCCTGAGATAAGTAGTAAGATTATCTCCATGTTACAGATTAGGAAGGTGAGGCCTAGAGAAGTGAAACACCTGCTCAAGGACACACAGTCAGTCTCTGAGTATTGGTTATAATCCCTATGATAATTTCTTATGGAGTGGCCCTGCTCTTCCTCATTTCTCCCTATGGCTCCCTATCCAAGGGCAGAGCTTGGCACCTATGAGGCTCTAAATGTGGTTCTGCTTCAGAAAGTGGAAATGTGTGACCCTCGCCCTCCCTTCTATTCTCCAACCTGTGGGAGTCCCCAGGCTAGGGGAAATACCTCATTTTTCCCAGGCTCTAACCCTGATACCTCTATTCCTGACAGGGAGTAGAAGAAAAGGCAGGTGATGTCTCTCTCTTGTTCCCAGGTGACAGGTGACAGAAGACCCCTGAGGTTGGACAGGTGCACCCCTTGGGCAGCTTTGGCCAATCATTTTGCAGCTGTGGCCACAAATGAGGCCTCATACTCCTGAGACAGAGGCTCAGAGGCATCAAATCCCGTAGGTTCTCCCAAGTCCTTGTGCCTGGATCCAAGGAACTGCACCCAGTTTCCTGTAAGCCTTCAGTGACCTTCTAAGGTGTTACTTCCTGTCCACTTTTGCAGCAAATGATGTCATTTCCTGTTCTAGGAAGTTCTTTCTGTCACTTTCTCACATTGCAAGAAGCTCAGGTATGATGTTGAGGACACTCCTTTTTGTGAAGTTTGATGGCAATTTACTCCTCTATTGACCTGTTTTGATGCTTCCATTAACAGCAATGATAATGACAGGGGTCATGTAATAATCATAGAGCACTGGCCATTTAGTGACAGAATGATCTGTGCCAGGTTGCATGACCTACATTATGGGTCATTCTGACAGCAGCCTTTCTTTCAAGGCAGGCCACATTATCCCCATTTTACAAACGAGGTTCGTTCAGGGTCCTGTGCCCTGTGACGTCTTCCCCATGAACATCCCTGCTCTTCCATGTTCTTCCCCAAGAACATCCCTGCTCTTCTTCCCCTTTCCCCTGAGAGGCAAAGCAGCTGACCCGCCTCATCTATGTTGATAGAAAGATCAGGGAAATAGTGGTTCAGGTGCAGGACACACAGTCCCATGGCTTTGAGCTGTATGGCTGCTTCAGACCCCTTGCTTGAGGTGAGTCTTGCCCTGTGGCCCGTACAGGTTTCCTAACCACAGCGGCAGAGAGTGGAGGAGGTGATCTCCCCCTGCAGATGGCCCTTGCCATGCTAGCATCCAACAGAGGATTCTATTGGCAGATGCATGGGTAGGCTCTATCCCCCTATTAACAGCACTGCTGCAAATCGTACTTCCTCCTCCCTTTTGTTCCTCTCTGATTTGGGGTCACTCTGATTGTCCCATACAACCTTAAGTAAAGCAAGGAGAAAAGAATAGCAAGACCAATGGACAGTGCTCCAGGGAGAACCAGAAAAGCAGGAAAAGAAGACATAAACTTCCTGTAATGACACAACCCAAACATGGAGGATGTAGATAGTGGAGGAACCTGAGGGTGGGGGTGGCAGGGGAGGATGCAGCTTCCTACCTGTGATGTTGACTTCCACCTGGCCCGAGCGCGTGCCAATGGGGTTGGTGGCCTCACAGACATAGGTCCCTGCCAGGCTGTAGGTGATAGGCCCCCTGAAGAAGAGGGTTCTGTTCTGGGGCTCCACACCCTTGGGGAGAGAGCCATTCAGCCTGTGGGAATTGGGAGAGATGGTGTAAGGTTATGACTTTCCACCCTAAGAGCTGCCCTTGGGTCACCCATCTGTCTCCAAGCCCATCAGCCTTTTTGCTAAGTGGATGTGGTGGGATATTCCTTGGAAGGAAGAAAAGTAACAGCAATAAAAATCTCTTGTATAGGCAATTTTATATTAATTCAACATTTCATATTTGATCATCCTCAAACTGACATGTATGCAGAGAATGTGGGTACCAGGCCCACTTCACAGATGAAAGCTGAGGTTTAAGGTCAAGGCAATACAGCTGGGAAGTGGTAGAATGGGAGCTTTAACCAGATCTGCCTCTGGACCCTGGATCAAGTGCCCTTTCTGGGAGTTCTCCTTCTACTGTTCATGGTTCCTGATTGTTGGTCCTTGGTGTCCAACCATCTGGTTAATGATGGAGATATCTGAGTCCTGTCCCCAGACCTCCTGAAGCAGAGCTACTTGGGCAAGGATCTACACATCTGTATTCTAGGAAGATATTCAGGTAGGAGATAGGAATTGCTATATTCTTCCAATCCTATGTTCTTGCTTTCCTACATGGGGAGCACCCTCAGAGTTTGTCAAGGACAGAGGACCTTCTTCCTTCCTCCTGATCCCTAATGCCACAAACCTGCTACTCAGCTAACCCAGCAGCTTCTCTGTCTACAAGCTGGCTCTGCCCACTCACGTCTTCAGAAGCACTTTCTGTTCCCAGAAGTGGAGGGTAGCAGGTAGGGCATGCAGAGTTCTCTACTTCTGAAAAAAGGGTATAGAATCTCTCTGGGCTGTTGTGTTCTGGCCATCCATGTCAGCCTTCTTGGCTGCCCCCATACCCCCTCTCTCTGTGTTCCATCCAGCTCTTTCTGGAAAAAGGTTGGCCCACACCATTAGAGCTGGCTGGAGGGGGACATGACTTTCTGAGAGCCAGGCAGGCTCAACACTATGAAACTAAGAATGGGGCGGTTGGGCATAGGGTGGACAGTCCATGAGCACAGACATTCTGGGCTGACTGTTGCCCCTATCCTGAGAATCTGGGGGCACTGGAGAGAAGGAATAGGAATAAAGAATGATCCGGGATACCCCAGAATGCCAGCTTTCCTGGGGACACCTTGATAAAAATAAATACTGGGGCTGGGAGTGACTCAGGCTGAATCACCAAAGGAAAATGAAAAATTTCTTTATTAGTGAGATGAAGGGAGGCAGACCACGGATGAAGCCCCCACTAGCAGACTGTTCTGTCCTACTGACCCTGGCACTTGAATACAGAGGTGTATGTCTATGCATGGGTACGCTTGGGTGTTGTGTGGTTCCCTACTTCTCACTGAGAAATCTGAGCCCAGACCCTAATTTCCTCACTGCCTAAGGTTCCCGGAGGTAGGTGGTTAGGTGCCCCATGATCCAGTGAGGTACACTCCCAGGTAGCTGGCCAGCCCAGAAGCACTTACGTAGTCCAGTGGTACTCAGTGGCTGGAGGATTAGCATCAGCTTTGCACGTGAGCTTCACATCCGTCCGCTGCAGGTACCAGTTGCCGTCAAACCCCTCGATGGTCACCTCTGGCTCATCTGTGGAGCAAGGTTGATGTTTGAACAGGGTGAGAGTTAGGACAGCAAGACTTAGGACGACGAAGCCCTGGACAGGGAAGGGATGGAAGGAGCAGTGACATAGGAGTAGCTGGAAGAGGGACAGAGATAGTGATATCACAGCCCTCAGAGCAGAAATGCAAGGGGAACAGGAAGGAGAAGATGAAGGGCAGAGGGAAGAGGTGGGGGGCATACAGCACCCCAGGAAGATGCATAGAGGAGGAAGGAGGAGAGAAGGAGGGAGGGGTTGCAAGCTGCAGTGGGAAGGTGACCCCCCCCCCCCCGCCAGGCCCCAGCTGTGGCTCACACTGCACATTGAGGGTGAGGCTGTCCTTGAAGCGGTCCATGTGGTAGTTGACAATGCAGGCCAGGGACTGCTGGTGGGCTTCCCGGCTGGGCACAAGGCGGTAACGGCTGATGACTGTCACTGTGCCATTGGGGTTCCGGATCTCCTGGTACTCAGCTTCACCTTTTAGCCTCGTTTCCCAGGACACCACACTGGGAGGCTTCCCATTGGCTGATGTGCAGGTGGCCACCAGGACCTTGTCATCCAGTCCCTTCTTGGCCTGAAGCACAGCCTGGGTACCTTCTATCCAGTTGGTGGGTTTGGCTGTGGGGAACCAGAGAGCACCATGGCATCAGACTTATTGCTTTGTTAAGCTGTGCAAGCAGCTGCCAGGCCTGGCTTTCAGGCTACCTGGGCCACCCCACCTCTCAGCTATGCTTCCTCAAAGCTCTTCCTAGAACTTCTCCTGGGCTGATCTTCCTGTATAATATTCCTCCCCTGTTCTACTATCTGCACCCCTTTCAATCTAACTCAGGCCTTCTTGGAGTCTTGGAATGTCATGCCAAGCAGCTCCTTTCCTTACCATGCTGTCTCAGGCTCTGCCTGCTTCCTGGCCATCACAAAGTGTCCCATTGTGGGGGCTCCGGCCTGAATGCTGAGCTTCCATTCTATGGAATAAAGGCCCTGTTCTCAAACCCCAGTGATTTGTGGGGCAGCCTAGCTGGAAGGGACTGGCAGTGCCAAGCCTGGAGCTACAGGAGCATGGCCACCCAAGGAGGCTGTCTGGGGCCATGGAGGAACACACTAAGATGGCTGGACCCCAGGTCACAGGCCTCTGGACAGCAGGGAGGGAGGGAGGGCCAGGCCAGCTTACCCATCACAGTGAGATTGAGCTGGCTCTCACGGTTGCCTGTAGGGAAGGTGGCAAACTCGCAGATGTAGACGCCTTCATCCTCCAGCTCCAGGCGGGAGAGGCGGATGGTGCCATCAGTGAAGGAGGGCCTGAGGAACTGCACGCGCTCGCGGTAGGGAGCCAGCACGGAGACGCCCATGGCCGGGTTGTAGATGGCCACGTTTTGCTTAGTGCCATTGGTGGCCTTCTGCCATGTGACCTGTGTGATCTTCACACTGGGCATCGGGTTGGCAAAGCTGCAGTGCAGTACCACGTCTGTGCCGATGAAGCCGTACATGGAGTCGTTCACCTGCACCACCTGTGTGAGGGCACCTGGGCAAGGGGATGGCAGGAAGTGGTCAGCACCAGGCATGCCTCCCCCCACCCACTGAGCTTCCTGTGCTTTTGTTTTGTTTTTTCAGCACAGTCATTAATTTTTAAATTTTTAATTATAAAACTAATAATTACTTGCTATAGAAACACTCTGGGCTATACTGAGAAATATGGAGAAGAAAATGACAACATGTCATGATCTCCTTGTTCAGAAATATCATTAATAATCTTATTGGACCCATCTTCTTTACCTTTTCTCTGTATCTACATATATCCATAAACCATAGCTATTTCTACCAAAGTCAGAATCATATGATAGATTGTTCCATATACTGTTTTTTCACCTACTGATATATTATCCATGTTGCTCCATGTTAGTAAATATATGTCTACTCTCTCATTTTTGATGAGAGGCAAACGTCCTGCTTTCCACTTTCAGGTACAAGTGGAGCCCCAGCCAGGACCCACGGCTGCTTTACCTTCCTGGGCCTTGCTTCCCTCATCTGATAAATGGGGTGGATAATCCAGTCCTTTTCACTTCATGGAGTTGCTAGGAGAACCAAGTTGTACAATCGACATACAAAAGCATATGTTGGAACAGGAGGCAAGCGTGGGGGCTCATGGTGGCCGTGATTATGGCTGCCACTGTGGTCTCCTCCTTCATAGCTGGCCCCATGTTCCCTGGGGTGCTCTGCCTCACAGCCTTTTACCCCCAGAGGACTCAGGGTGGTGCTGCCCATGGCCAAGTCTCTGCTGGCTCCCGTTGCCTTATAAGTGAGTCTAAATGCCTTTGGTTGGCTTTTGACATCTTCACCACCCACCTTTTGTCTACCTAGCTCCATAAACTGGGTATTCCAAACAAGTCAGCCTAGACCTGTCCTTGAGACATGGCATGGTTCCATGTGTCCTTCTCTCCTTCCTCCCATTTACTCCAGCACTTTTTGCTGAGTGCTAATATGCCAGCACCTATTATCAGCACCTGGTCATATCAGTGAGCAGTTCAGTCTGGCCCCCAAGCAGCAGACTGCCCATGCAACGTTTCCGAACTCTTATTCATGTACTTTCCTCAACTGGGAAGGCCTGTCTCCTTCACCTATGGAAAACCTGCTGAGGTCTCCCCATTTGGGAAACTTCCACAGCAGGAGGTAACTGGCCACCTCAGGTACAGCTTTCTGCCTTGGAAGTGACTGTTCACACATCTGACTTCTCCACCTGACTATGAACTCCTCCAGGGCAGGGTCTGTCTTTTACATCCTGTTTCCCCAGTGCCCAGCCCAGCATCTGACATACAGTAGACACTGGGAGATATTTCTTGCCAGACAAACTGCCGCAGAAGCGAAGAGAGGAAAGATTTACAAGAAGGAGGGAGTGATTGGTGGCATGGGATAAAGGAATAAATCCTCCCCCCACCTCTCCACCAATTGTATTACCCCATCTGGAATGTCTTCTGTTTGTATTTCCTTACCCCTGAACGTGGCTGCGCTCCTGTGAAGTGGGATAGCTGTCCCCAGCCCTATGCTCTGCCCACTTCTACATGCTGGTACCTTACCCTGTCAAGTCCCCACTAGCTGTGACCTTGCCATTATTTGTGTGCTGTATGTCTTTTACTCAGTTTATTAAGTGGCACCAGTGCCAGGACCTGTGCTGAGCCGGAGCCAGGAGGATAGCTCCTAGGAAGCCTGGGTCCAAGAGTGGGAAGTTGTGCTACTGGTTGCCTGCTTTACATAATAGAGATATAGGAGCAGTGTGGGTTCCTCTGAGGGCTCCAAAGCTGGAGATCATTATATAAATTGTTTATCGCTCCCCGCTCCAGTGGGTATAAGTGACTGTGGAATCCCTGGTGCTCAGCACACAGTAGGTGCTTAAGAAATGCTTACTGAAGAAATATGTCTGTGGCCACGCCAAGCCAGGCATTGCCATGCTGAGAGATTCCTTGATACCCATTCATATCCACACGGCCCATCAAGGGTGTCCCCTCCCCACCACTCCAGCTGGCCCCCTGGCCAGTCTGTGGGTACCTCAGTGCCACTACCACACCTGACACCTCTCAAGGCTGGGGGACCTCGGGCAGTTGCTTCCCCAATTCAGTTTTTCCTCTCCTCTTAGAAGGAGCAGGCTGGACTCCCCGGTCTCAGGGCTCCCTTCTGTCTTTAACCTTCTGATGGCAGCCCAGCCCGTGCCCTGCCCCAGAAGCAGCCCCATGGTGAGGTCAGTGGGCCAGACGGCCCAGCGTTCTTGCTGATGGCTGGCTGGCAAGCAGCTAAGGCCTGCATCCTCCCGCAGGATAAGTCTCCACTCCCAAGCCTGCTGGAGGCTGCTCAGTGGCTGAGATAACATGGGCGTAATTGGGAAACTTGCGCCACACAAAGCCAGGAACTGGAAAAGCCAGTTGGGAGGGGTTGGGCCACAGGTGAGAGTTGGGGGAAGGGGTGTGTGCATGGGGAGCCATCTTGGGATTGGTGCCAGGCATGGTGGCCTGCAGGGGCACACAGCCTCCAAGCTTCTGACCCCATCTGCTCTGATTCCCCCATGGGTGTGGGGACAGGCAGAGTACAGGGCCTGGCAAAAGCGCTAACATTTCATTTGCTGCATTAAAACAGTGACCTCACCTTTCAGGGCACCCTTGTGCCGGGAGCGGAGATTGCTGATGGCAGCCAGGGTGGAGGGTATGGAGGGTACTGGAAAGGACTCCAGTGCCTAGACAGGGGTGCTCCCCCTCAACCCTGAGTCTGTGTTGAGGTGGAGGCTGCTTTTCTCTCCACCGTGGCTCACCCAGTAACAAACCCAGGGTGATGCAGCTAGGAAAGTTCCTGGTGTCCCCTCACTGTGTACATGGTGGGTCCTCCTGGCTCCTTCTGTCCCAGTGTTGGGCAGGCTGGGGTGGGGCAGGCAGGACCTCAAGGGAGCAGGACAGTCACTTTTGCTCTCTGTCTCTGATGCAGCTGACTGCCTGGTCCCGGGGTTCTTGGAGCATTTCGGGTGGGGATCCCAGAGTCGTGGGGGTGGGAGGGGCTGGGGGATGGGCAAAGCTGGAAACTCCCCTTACCAGCTCTCCTCTTCCTCACTCCAGGCTCTGTACCTAGGATTCAAGCTTCTGGCAGGAGTTACCTGTCTTGGTCCAGGGATGCAGGCTGGAAGTGTCCCTGGTTCTTACACTGGACAGAGTGGGAGGCTTTCTGAGGGGAGCAGGGCTCACCCCTGAGAAAGGAGTGAGGGGGCTGCCTGGGGTAGGAACCTGGGCCTCACCTGGAAGGCCTGGGAGGAGGCCGCAGGATGGAGGGAAGCCTGCTCAGGGCAGTGGCAGGAGGGAGCCTCAGAGGTTCACTCCAGCTCTGACAGTCAGGAAACTGATGCTGGTGGCCTCCCGACTCTGAAGGGTGTTGCAGCACCACAGCCTTCAGGCAGCATAGCGGGATTGTGAAGAGTGTGGGTCTGCGCTCCACCTCTGCATGTCTTTGCTGTCTCACTGTGGGTCAGTGATTTAACTCATCTGTGGCTCTATTTGCACTGAGCTTCAGCATAATGGGGATTCTAATGGGTAATGCCTGCCTATAAAAGTGTTGCAGGATTAAATTAAGGGGTACAAGGGAAACCGAGAAAACAGCACTTCGCAAAGTCAGATGCTCAATAAATGTTGCTATCATGACCATCACCATCACTATGATCTTTCAGCGATGAAGCCATACACTTCTCTTCCTGAAACTTCGGGAAATGTTTACAGAGCATCTACCCCACCCTGGGCTGTGAAATTCCCCTCTTCTGGGTCACCCTTGTGACTCTCATCCCTTCTTCCTCAACAAACACTTCTACTTCTACCCCAACATCATATAACAAAGCTCTACACCCCTTTCTCTTCTGTTTCCTGGCACATGTGTGGAGTCTGGGTCCTGTCCCCTAACAGATCACACTCCTCGTGGAAGACCGGAGCAGATTTGGTTTGGGGCTGCATTGACCGTGTCACCCTGATGTTTGCAGTCCAGGGCTTGGAGAATCCTGTTGGTGATCTCTGGTTCCCCAAGCATTACAGGCTGCTCCACAGAGAGTACCCTGTCTCTTTTCCTTGGGATGTGGGGACTGGGACCACTAGCCTGGGAGCACATTGGAGCTCAGTGGTCCACACAAGCCATCATTTACCAAGTCCAGAGGGGTTGAGTTACTTGCCCAGGGCCACAGAATGGCAGTGCCCTGGCTGGTGCTCTTCCTACCCTACCCCCCAAATATACTCCAGCTCAACCCAACTCTGCAGGAGCCTTGTTCGGGGTGATGTCCCTCCCAGAATGTGCCCCCAGAGCCTCCATTACTCCTGTAAGAATGACTCAAACACTGGTTACAGTAGTATGGGCATGGCACCTGCTGAGCACCTGTACTGCAGTCCAATGATTGGGCATCAGAAACAGGGACTGAGGGAGCCCAAAAGGGGGATTGCAGGCAGCTGCTTTGTGCAGAGCAAGGAGAATTACAGAGGGCAGAGGTACTCACGGGAGCCATGCATTCAGCAGAGGCCTTTCTTTCTCTTTACTGGCACTGGGGATTGAACCTAGGGCCTTTGCAATAAGCTAGACCCCCTAGCCCCTTTTTAACTTTTTACTTTTATTTTGAGACAGGGTCTCAGTAAATTGTCAAATTGCCAAGGCTGTATTTCCACTTATGCTCCTCTTGCCTCAGCCTCCCAGATTGCTAGCGCTATAGGTATGTCACAGGGGCATTCTTGCATTCTCTCACCCCAAGGACATCAAAAGAAAGCCTCTTTTTCCTGGCCACAGCACTGCCTATTTTGTCCTGACCACTCTAGAGCCTAGGGTCTGGGATACACATTCCTGGGGCTTGTGCTCAGGTGCCTCAGTTTCCCCAGGAAAACTCAACTTGGGCAGTTTGGGTGACCTGGCTTCCCAAAAGTGCTGAGGCAGCGAGGCAGGCATTGGGTCAGCCCCCCTGAAAGTCACAGACCTGCAAAAGCCCCAGCTCAGCAACAAAACACAAAGGCTCCTCAGTTGTGGCAG